CGCGAAAGGGATCCTTTGCCACCTTTACCCGCCGTACTCAAGTACTTAATGGCCAGTACTCTAATGAATTTTTCATCCCCTTTGTCCGGTTTCTTTTATGGAAGCTTGCACTGAAAATGGCTTTTACCTTCGTTGTACCCATTTTTGTATCTTGTAAAGTAATTACATTCCCGATTCTCAATAAAATCCAGATAAATCGTACCAAAAAAATCATACTAATTTGTTCTGATTATTATAATAAATTCATTGCAATAATGATATATTAATGTTTTTTTGAAGAAGAAGGAAAAATGAAAGCAGACAGCTGTTGCAACGTATATAAAGGATGCAAGGCTTTATTTAATTTCGGTTCCTCAAACTCTGCATCTGCGAAATGTGCTTTTGCATAATAATGGGAATGTCCAAAATATCACAAAGACGCAGGGATACGCAACAAAGTAAGGAGTGAAAAGAAGGTGGATGAAAAGCTTTGCATGAAAAGAGAGATTTCTCATCCGTGTGCATGGACACATTTCAGAGGCACGAAGTCCCCGGACCTTTTCTTCTTACACATCGCCGGGAATTGGCTCGAAAAACGGCAATTAAACAAACAATATTCGGCCGGCTGCTAGCCAGAGGATATCCACCAGAGTTATAATACATTTCGCTCGCTCAGGGACGAACGAGAATTGTACAGGAGATACAATGGAAGGGAAAATTTAACACCTGGTCTCCTTGGCCCGACCTTAGGCTACTCTCTATAGAATGGGTCCGCGGTGCTCTTTTCTTTCGAGGAAAACGAAACATTTCCTCTTGGCACTCTTCGTCGTCTCACAGAAAAGGTGGTATTAGACACCGGTGGCAGCTGTCGCCGGTGGCCGCGTTGTGAAAGCGGAACAGTTATACAGAAATGTAAGTACCGATCCTGCCCTGCCTTGCCCTGATTGGCCATTCCATAAAACCATTTTAAGTTGCAATGAAAATCGAGCACTCGATTACGTTACTTTTCATGGGTTTTTGAACGAGAGTCAAAAATTATAAACTGAATTGCCATTTGAAATAATCGTAAAAACTGAATTCACGTCGAGACCATTTTAACAATATGGTTTAATTATTCAGCCAGTGCTTTTAGAAGAAAGTAGACTTGAAGAAACCGTTATATGTGGCTATATGATAGCAGATTTGCATCTCTGCTACGTCGTTTGACAGGTGGCTTCTTATCCCTCCACCCTTACTCGAATTACACGATTAATTATGGTAATTGCATTTCCTCTAACCGATGGAAATTACACTCGTGTTGAGACGTTTCCTTCGGGTCGCTATTGAGATTTTATCTTAGCAACGAGCTACGACGCGACGTTTAAATTTGTAGTAATAACGATAATAATGATCTGCCTGCGTGACTCTGGCCCCGAGCATGTTTTAATTACACGTGTGCTGCGGGTACGAGGGATCGGTTTCGTGGCCGAGAAATTCAGCCACAGACCAAAGACAAGCATTCACGTTGTCGTGCGAAAGCTGCTGTCACTTGTAAAATTTACTTTCGAATTTTCGATTCGAGAGCCGCTGCGGTTTTTCATATCGTTTTCGCGCGACTAACAAATAACTGTAACATGCAAACATGGACAGAAGCTGGCGGAACGAGACACTTAATTTAAGAACACGTAACAATCTGCTAAAGTAAAATAAACAAATTTTATTAAATCACGTGAGGTGCAGATTGAAGTTCTTACGTGTAAATGCAATGAGTATTTCCAAGAAGAAATGGATTTTTAAAGACGATACAATCTATAATTAATTTCTGATAACTACATATGTCGTATGATCTTATTGAGAAATAAGAACGAGATGCAAATCAGTTAAAGAACGTTACTAATTAACGAATCAAGTATTTGTTTGCAAATTTTTAAAGCACATAACATTACACTGTTGCAGGTGTTTGTTCAGAGTAAATATGTAGATCCTAAATCTCTTAAACTTAACGAGCTTTCGAAATTAGTCGTACGCTAATTTCGTTTCAAGCGCAATGAATAATTTATAACGAATTTCTGAACACTTTTAAGCCAATGAAACGTTATCCTTATCACATCATTAAACGTTAAGTCAATACGAAGTTCAACTGAGTTTGTAAATCAGTATACTGTAAAAAAATTAAGTCAACAATTAAACTTGCACAAGTGTATGTTTAGAGTAAAAAAACGAGCTAAGTTTTTAATTAAAGGAAGGAACAGAGTGTGGAATTTAAAAAAATTCCACGCGTTGTTAAATGACAGCAAGAAATGAGGGAAAGACGAAGAATTCCATGTTTAATAAAAAAATTAATTATCTAAGTAAGCAAAGCAATAACAATAGTCATTCGAAGTAATTCTCTCGGGTCTGTGTACACAATTTTATTACTAGCGAGACATGGGGAGGAGATAAGTGTCAGAAAATGAATCACCGAAACGAGTAATTTTTAATGGTATTAAATCGCGAGATATTAACTGCTTCACACAATTAACGCCCAACTCCCAGAGGCAATTTGCATCGCGCCGCGACTAAGAAAACATAATTACCGTAATTTATTACGAGATTCGTCGCAGAACGCGTATTCCACGCTGACTTACGGTATCGTTTGCGAGTAACGAAAGAAATTAACATTAAATTTTGTGTCTCGCATTGAAATCTGTTCCCAAGGCAAGAAACTAAGTTAGTGTCACTTGAGAAATTGATTCTGACATTTATTATAATCGCCTCTACTTCTTATCAACAAATATTCGAAGCAAAACTGTGTTCCGAAACTGAGAATTCTTTTTGGTTTAAAAATTATGTTTCTATTTATATGCAAAATATTTGTACACGTAATTCCACGATCTCGTTAAGATAACATATGTAGTATTAACGGCACTCAGAAATTGACTAGACTTTCTGTTGCAAAGCAAAAGTTATAATTTTATTGTGTCAAGTACAAGCTATCAGTATTCTTGATAGATATCAGTAATTTCGTTTCTCTATCTGTACTGAAGCAACGCATACTCGTATCCAGCGATTGTTATCTGGCGCCACGGATCGTTATCACATCGCTTAACCGTTTGATTTCTGTATCGGTTAGCGATCGAGTTTTATTTGAGATTCAATTACCTACGATTTATCAATCGAGTCACACGTGGCTAACGATAAGGATATATCGAAATCTGGTCGATTGAAATCGCGGTGATTCCGTCAAACTGGTGGTCGTTTATCGTACAACTGGCTGATCTGACACGACGACGCTTGTTGCTGTGCTGGTCAATAATTATCTACACTTTTTCATTAAGCAATACTTAGACTGAGTTGATGTATTTATAAGAAAATTGAATAAAAACATGCAAGATATTAGAGTACATATTTTTATCTTTTGAGTATAAAAAGAATACCAAATAAAAAAAATAGAATTATATTTGAAAAGTTTTATATCAATTTAAAATAATATTTGTCATCAACGATCTATCAAGCCATTTAATTCACCGTTAATTTTGGTTAATTAAGGAGTATCCACGTAATCATAACCTGTCTTACAAATTGATGATACATCGATCACTTGATTAATTGAACTACTCACGAATCTTGTTTATCTTTATTAAGGTTGACGCAATTATTTTATCTTGCGATAAGAAATTGGCCAAAATCAAAATTAGGTCGAAGAAAGTGAAAAGAAACGCATGTTTTAATTGAATTTATAATTAAACAAAATAATGATTTCTTAAAAATTCGAAATAATCCAGTGCATTTAAATTAGCACATGTTTACGTGACAAATTCCACGTAATTAATTGATTGTAATTTATGCATCAAATAAAAATCAAATTACGTATTTGCATGCTGATCAACCTATGGTAATTCAACAGAAATGGTGAGAATGTTTAATCGAGTAAAATTTTTAATAACTTAACTTGTCGAATCGAATTTGAAATCCAATCAACTGGGAATTGGAGCATCCAATTAGACACGGAATGTGACACGAATAAAGTCAAAAGCTGTTTCGTTCAGTGAAAAAGTTAATGCCGCACCGGCGAGAAATTATGTGAACGAGAACGAGTTTCGCAAGCTTTGATCGTTTCTACTCAAAACGATGCCCGACTGAATGCAGGTAATGTCGTAAAAAGTGTCTACGCGTAGATGATTGAGATGTCGTGTTAAGCACGGTGTGAAAAAGAATTAATAAACGCCATGGTGAAATTTTTACTGTCGGATTGCGAAAAATTCGAATCTATGGAAAGTGCGAACTGGTTTTATTATAAAAGTATTTTCATATAGGAAAAAGGCGAGACCAGATATAGAACGTAAAAGTTGTTTTAATTACACTCTAGCCATAACCGATTTATGGATAACTTGATTACAAAAGTTTTATGGAAAATAGAACAAGCTGGTACCAGTCTAATATCTGATAAAAACAGGTTGCCTGTTCTCAACTTGACACGATAGTAACAATTAATAAATAGTTAAATAATAAATTTAAGAAAATATGAAAGTATTGTACTTTTTCCATTTTAATTGAAAAAATCCTGATCTTAATTAAATTTTTCTATCACTTTAGTGTCAAAGTTAATGTCAAATACCGAAAGTTACAGGGCCTTTGTAGTGCACTAATTGTACTTATCTTTATTCACGCTTAACAGATTACTTGCGCAAATAGATAAACAGCACGATATCCACTGTAATACTATCTCTATTACCCTAATCGTGCTGCCATTCATCATCATAGATTTCTACCAAGGTACAAATGATAAATTGAAAGGTCATTAATCTTCTGATCTACGAACCATTATTATGCACCACCCGAAATATTTAATATGTATACACGTGCATTATTATTTAAATATGTTGAGCATGCAATAAATAACCCTTGAATTCCCATAAATGTTTTTGGTAACGAAATTCAATATGAATTTGGAAAACCACAAAACATTTCGTTTGTACCAAACGCCGAAACTAATCAAATAGCTTACAGAAATTGCTCGTGCCAAATCGAAGGGTTGAAATTCCAATGTTTAATTAAATGACTCACCGGATAATCTTCCTCCTGTTGTTCGGATGGACTCTCCTGGCCATTTCCGGATCGACTTCCGTCAACTGCTTGAACAATTCCTCGTTACTGGTCGTGGTGAACCGATCCATTTCCACCTTCATCCTCTTCGAGCGAGCAACCGGGTCGTCCTCGTCTTCATTCTTGTCGATAAGAATTTTCCAGAGTACCGACTCGATGTAATAATTGGTGCCGCCGACGATGATCGGCATCTTCCTCCTCGCGAGCAGATCGTCGATCTAGATCGGCCAAAGAAGAAAAGGAAGTTCGAGGGAGGTCTCAAGCTGGGGATCGAATAACGGTACCGGAGGGGCCGTGACTAATTATCGGTTATATCACAGCCGGTCTCGCGGTATCGTTAAAACTTCGTTCGAAAAATGATTCAGTATACGAAGCCACGATTTCGTTTTTTCTTTTGAAAAACGTCGTTAGCAGGGCTTGGAGAAGGGTCCGACATAGCGAATCGATTATTGCGATAGACATGAAAGTGTAGAAGCGGGGCTATTAAAGATTTTAATATTAAATGTCACTTGTGCGTTATTAATTATTATGCACCCATCTATATGCGACATTGCTCTTATAAAAAGCTTGTTATAGTTCCGAGTGAATCGAAGGTCGTTCACTTGTCACTATTACATTAATCTCTTACGCAGTCCATAGCAAATGTATTTGTTAATGCAAGCAGTGAGTCCGTTAATGGGGCGACATTGCAAATGCTTTTGTTAGGGAGAATGTGGAGAATATAGGAAGAATTACTATGGGTATGGCCATGTCCCTGAATTGCACCACCGTGAAGCTAGGATTCAGAGGATCTACGACGTCCAGCATGTGGTGCGGCACCATTGCTTTCTCTTCTTTCGTTACTTTCGCTGTGATAATGTCCAGTCCTTTGTACACCTGCAATCAGTCAAGAAATAATATTTATGAATAATTGCAACGCAAGATCACTTGATATAATTTTCTGAATAATTGTTCGTAACACGCTATGAATTATTTACACGGATTATTTCATACTTCATCTATTTTTACGATAGATATTAGTTTCGTAATGCAGATAAAAACTTGTAACGCCAGATGGACAGGGTTACGAGATACGTTCAAACATTTCGATGACATTATCTTCATTACCGAAGTAATGTTATCGGCAATCTCTTTCAAACCGTTCCGTTCCTTCCTCTGATAAGTGTTTACTGCCTGTTGAAGAAATTAACGGAAGGAAATCATGGTTAGCGGCAGATTTCTCTTATCTCCGGATGACAACGTGATAACATTTTCGAAATGTAATGTTTAAGAGGAAAAAATGCCAGAGAGAATTAAATACCCATAATGATTGCAAGCAATTATAGTAATTTTTTATCAAAATATAAACGCACACAAGAGTACCTATAAAACATAGATATTATAATATCTAGTATTACATGAATATAATATGTATGAAATATGATCTCGAGGTCAGGTTTTTTTATTGGGCGATGATTTGTACAGGTATTTCACTTCAATAATGATACACGTTTCTGGAATGATTCTGTAATACGTGAAACGACGTGCTGTCATTTCGGAAACCCTGCCGTAAGATGGGATCGTTTTTTGGCACCCTTTCCCCGAGAAGAGAACGGCCTGAATATCGTCGGCGAACTTGAAAATTTTCTACCACACGTCCTCGATGTTCCGTTAAGTTACGCTATCACTGACCGAGCAAACAGGTTCCCCGACGTTACGGTTCATGCCCGGCCGACTTCAATGACCACGTCTTCAACCTTCATTAACCTTTTTTATCGGCGTCTTATTGGACCGAGACCCCGACGCGCGATCCCCTTCGAGTACGCGTAAGAAACCGAACGGAAGTTCCATTTGCGGATTGCCGTCAATAAAAACACAAAGAGAAAGGGACACATGATTTTCGTAAATTAAAACAATCAACAATACCGGGAATTCATATTGCGTCTGATTGCAACCTCGAATATTGATTACACAAAAGTATGAATTACTTTTGATTAAAGTAGGAGACAATAGGAAAGTGTAATGACCCTCCAGAGTGACTGGATAAATAAGTGATGATTCCTGATCAACTGCGAAGTGCATCTAAACCGGAAATAATGATAGAATGAAAGTGTAAATATACTGATATTTTACATCAGGATTCATTACACAAAACTCGCGAAATAAATGTTCATAAATACTGTCGGATTAGTTTGTTACTATCGCCATTTTTTATTCCTACAAGAACGTTCGTAGTGTTAATTTTTATTTCACTGAGTTCAACTATTAATTTTGACATTTCGCATTTTGAATATGCAGCTTCCGGTTTAGGCACTCTTTTATGCAAGTGTCATTCCTTGGAGGGTCACTAGTAAAGTGCCAATTGATTAGTATTAAAAACAACCATTTCTGTTTCTTTTAATGTAATTTGTCTCTTTGATAAATATATGTACAATAGTAGTCAGTATATATAAAAGGAAAACAATGATTGATTTCGTTTTGCAGCATTTCACGCGAGGACGTGAACTGTTAAGTGAACCAAAATCCAAGGACCCCGCGAGGGCCACCATAATGGTTCACTCCCGTCACACCGGCTGTCGAAAACGTTCACCAGCGTTACGCAACAGGCAAGAACAACGAAAAACCGTCGAAGCCGCATGATTAATTAACGAACACCCGGTGTCGAAATCCACAGCGTCCAGGCTACGAACCGTCATTCATTCATCACTCATTCATCATTCTCCGATCGGCTGAACGAAGCAATAGCTCCAGCTTCAAATTTCATTTTAAGCCAGACATGTTCACTTCATATAAGAAACTCAATAAATTATTTGAAAATACAATTTCTATCTTTTATTCTTGCCCTTCTTTAATGCTTTATAATCAAAGAACAACTGTCGTCCATTATATTTCAATCTAAAAGTTCAGCACGATGGTTGAAACGAACGAAACTGGAATCAAGATGAGAAATGAAATTATATCTTTTAATGATCCTTTGAAATTGATCACATTGCCTAGTTTCGCAGCTCGTTTAAGGATAGCAACGATGGTCTAACAATCGCCTGGGGTGGAAATAGGAAGTTCGCGCGCGGCATGATTTATCGGCATTGCCTCGCAGGCGAGGGAGACCTCCCAGGGATACTTTACAACGGGCTAGCAATTATCCGCGTTACGTACAACGGGGCAATTACCGCGACGCTGGATGCGTAAGTCAATCGCGTTCGCGTTCACGCGCGTGCCGACGAAACAAAGTACATTGGAACATTCTTCGACCGACTTCTAATTATTTCAATTAGGCCCGATTCCCAACGTGGGGATCGTAATTAATTCACTAGCCTGATCATCCGGAAAATTATTACGTTCATGTAAAATATGGAAATACGCTTAAAACTTATGTTTAAATGCTGCAGCTGTTGCACTTTGGAAAGTACACAATTGAAAAACATTGTAACAGGCAGAGGGATTATTATTCATGAGCAGTACACATCCGGATCGTATTACGTTCGCTTAATTTGCATTATCTTCCAAAGACAGTCGGTGTCAATGGAGCCTCTTAATGTAAATCGCTGAAGGGGATAAAGAAATCGGCCGCTTAAAATTCCGACATTTTACAATACGGATCCGCGGCCCCCGCTTTTTGAAAGCAAAGACGTTTCGTTTCGTATGGAAATCGTTGCCAATAATGCTTGTAAAACCGCGGTTTTACGACAAACCGTTGCATTCGTTCTCTATAAAAGGCGACGATATACAGTAAATTTATAATTTAATGACATAAGAAAAGAAAATACATTACTTATATTATAACTAGATTAAAAACTTTTTAAAAAAATTACAAGTTGCCTCTTATATCGTTTTCAACGTTTCATACATTTTAAACTTTACGTACTCTCTATTTGTACGAAATGCAGAAGGTCTGCATTGCATTTGATCTTACGTTGGCTTTGAAAAATTCTTGAGAAATATCGAGTTACGAGCAATTAAATCCTGCTGTGATCTCTACGAGTGCTTTCGACGAGCCGGCGAATTAAAAGTTGAAGCGAGGATCGTTATGAAAGAGGAGGACGGAGTTACTTTATAAGGGTAGCGTGCCACTTGCCAAAGTTCGCTCGTGAAGGGTCAATAAATCAGCAAAAGGAAAGGGTCCACGCGGAATACGTAATCAGTAGAAAACGCGGTTCGCATAGCGGCACGTAGCACATGCCGACTTCAATTACGCCTGTGCGTTAGAATAATTTAGGGCCGGGCATGCCGAAATGCTTGATCATGTCGCTCACGAAGCGCACAGGACATCCGAGGAGGATGTGTCTCTCTAGTAGGCAAGGCCAGTTACGATATCATTCGCGACTTCCTAGAACGACTGGGTCAACCCGTCCCGGCACCGTTAAAATTCTCCTTGAAATTTTAATATTCAACAAACACGGCTTAGAACACTTCAAAGAGGCCGATAGAGTGGAACCTTCGTGAATTAACTTTGCTCTCTTTGCTCGCTCGTTTCTAACGGTCCCTCAATCCCGTTTCCATCGGAATTCGATTATTCAATTTTATACAATTCACCAAGTGCGAAATTGATGTTACCAGCTGTTTCGAAGCAACATAATTACTCAACCTTCGATTATCATTATTGGTCTACATGACTCGTAACTTTGGAGAGAAATACTTTTATTTAATAACGCCTTTCTTTCTATTCTCAATTATTCTTGAAGCTGCTTGAAAATCGAATTGGCTCTGAATAACCCATGTGTCACAGTGGAGGGTTAAAATAGATTCCCAACAGAATTTCTCAGAAAATCGATTGACGTCTCCAGCAGATAATATTAAAACCAACAATTGAAATATATAAAATTTAACTGATATATCAACCGCAAAGACTAAATAAATTGTACGAAAATGTTGGCACATTTTGCAGGTAAACGTCGCGTCCTGGGTAAAGAACTTTTAAGCAACGTTCATAGCGGTCAAACAAGCTGAGTGCACTCGCCGTAAAAGACTTTCCAAGGCGCGGAGCCTCTTTGTCGGCTCATTTTTCTCGAAACGCTTTTACCTGGTAATGGACCGGAGGAGGCGACAGGACGAATCATTCGCCGGTTAGAAAGGGGCGAACATACGTATAATGAATCACGATGGCGAGCACAGCGCAGCTTTTCTTTACGAGTTAAGCTACCGCGCATAACCCGCAGCGTATCACCGCGAATAATTGGCAATAAATTTCGCGAAATATCTCTGCCGATGGTATGCCAGGGTCTGAATGTTGCGCTTAGCTCTAAGAAACGCTGCGTTACTTTTTTCCGGTTATTGCTCGTAAAAGAGCGTGTCGATTTAAATTACGATCGAGTTCGCTGCTCGATAAGTTGTTTTATGGAAAGACCGCGACGTTGCAGCAACCGCTTCCAAGTATTTCAAATTTAGAGAGTCAATAAATAAAAACTGGAGATTGAATTAATAATCATTTTAATAATAGAAATATTAAGTACCAAGAAGGGGTTGGTACATCCCAAATATTCGCTGATTCAATATTTCTATAAAGCATCAATTAGATATTCACATTTATTATAGTAAAATAGTATTGAAAAGGTTTAATGCAAAAATAACTTGACACCTGTGTCACATTTTTTATACCTAAGTAACACTAATTGGTACGATCTGTAAGATTCTCTTGCTCTCGAAATATTCACTGAGCCAAATTCGAGATCCAATATCCAAGCCAAAAGCTAATTCCTGCGTGAATCAATTAATTACGCTTCCGGAAATGTTTAACCCTATCGTTTCCACGCCACAGGTCAACCATTTAATCCATGGAAAATAGCATAATCCTGTGTCGAATACCGAGCAAATAGAAGAAGTTATAATCTTACATTTTTAATACAATTGTAATTACGTTTTTCATTCAGTGAAGTTATATCGATAGAACTCAAAATATT